TGCTAGCCTAGCCCGGATACCTCCGTGCTTACCCCTCTTTTGCTTCCTCTCGCGCTGCTTGTGGCGCCTCCGCTGTAGGCGAGGTGCAGCAGTGGGGGTCGGTGATGGTGTAGGCCTCCGGAGCAGACCGAGGTCCCGCAGCTCTTTGGCGTGCATGGAGTTTAGCTCTAAAAATGTGGTTCCGTTTAGCTTTACAAATTTGGTTATTCCTGTGATCAAAGCTAAAATTTCAGCATCATTACTCCATTCTTCAGTGTCACATGATCCTTCAGAAATCATTCTAATATGCTGATTTGCTGCTCAAGAAACATTTCTGATTATTATTATTATTATTATCAATATTTTAAACAGTTGAGTACATTTTTTTTCAGGATTCTTTGATGAATAGAAAGATCTAAAGGCCAGCATTTATCTGAAATAAACAGCTTTCATAACATTATACACTATACCATTCAAAAGCTTGGAGTGAGTGTATATATATACAGTGGGGCAAAAAAGTATTTAGTCAGCCACCAATTGTGCAAGTTCTCCCACTTAAAAAGATGAGACAGGCCTGTAATTTTCATCATAGGTATACCTCAACTATGAGAGACAAAATGAGAAAAAAAAATCCAGAAAATCTGGAGTAATGATGCTAAAATTTCAGCTTTGAAATCACAGGAATAAATTACTTTTTCAAATATATTCAAATAGAAAACAGTTATTTTAAATAGTAAAAATATTTCACAATATTACAGTTTTTGATGTATTTTGGATCAAATAAATGCATGCTTGGTGAGCAGAAGAGACTTTATAAAACATTAAAAAATTATTATAAAAACATATAGTAATCTTACTGTTCAAAAACTTTTGACTGGTAGTGTAGGCCTATATCATAATATTTTTCTGCACAAACACTTGAATATAAATAATAATAGAGCATACTTATTTTAGGTTAACACTACAATATGGGATCCACATTAAAATAAATCTTCACAAGTCTACATCCGAGACAGATGCAGTTATATCCTGTAAATTGAAGGCTATTAGACTTTTTAAAATGATCTGACTGGCCAGCCCGATCTCATAGCAAATCGTACATATTTTACGAGGTGGGTAATTCGTACGAATTTGCACGACCTCACTCGTACAAATTCATATGATTTTTGCTAAATCGTACGTATTTTACGAGTTGCACAATTCATATGAATTTGTACGAATGACCTACACCTAACCCTGCCCATAAACCTACCCGTCACTGGGGTCTAATTCGTACGAATTGGTCGTGAGATAGCTTTGGATGGGCGATGGGCTCCAGTTCGTTGATTTATTAGTGTTCTTGATCAAGACTAAACAGATGTCGCAGTCATAAACTTGTTTTAATGACTCTCATAATTTTTTTAAAATAAATCACTTATGCATTAAATAATAAAGATACAAAGCAGGTTAAGTTAAATATTATTTTACAAATAATTATAAAATGCTATAGACTGCGAATAAGATTGCATTTTGCATATGCATAACAAAGTAAATGATTTTTTACATGCAATGATACAAAATAAAACCAAACAAGATTTGTAATGAAGAAAAACTATGTAGACAAATAAGAATAAATGATGTAACCCCTCAGCACATCTCTTGAGCGTCACGCTCAGTAACTTGCACGCAGAACACGCAAATCTTGCACACTACATGAATGCAGCACAGATAGCGACACAAGTTATGTGAAGCACATAAAAGGTTTAAATAAGATAATATTGACAATGAACATTTTATGACATTTAAAATAGTTTTGACTATTTGTCCTTCAGTCTGCCTGTGCATTTCTGACCAGCACTGGGCTAAATCTCTGTGATGTTCTAGTTGAGAATGCAATTTCTAAAATGTCATTAGAATGAATTCATTTCAAAATATTATGATACGGAAAGCCTGAAACAAATCACAGCAGTATATAGACCTACACAGTATCAGTCAATCAGTATGATTATAATGATAGAACTTGAGTTCAAACTGAGGACATTTACAGGTGCATCTCAATAAATTAGAATGTTGTGGAAAAGTTCATTTATTTCAGTAATTCAACTCAAATTGTAAAACTCATGTATTAAATTCAGTGCACACAGACTGAAGTAGTTTCAGTCTTTGGTTCTTTTAATTGATGATTTTGGCTCACATTTAACAAAAACCCAAATAAACTTTTCCACGACATTCTAATTTATTGAGATGCCGTTTCTTGTTTTAGTTAGGCCTAAATAATATGAGCGAAATTATACAGTGCCTCACGTTTTAGTAAAATAAAGGTAATAATTTATAAAATATGCAACAGTTTCTTAATTAGTGAACAGATATATTTTACCCACGTAGTTCTCTGTCAAAATTAAGGACAGGTAACGAATAACAAAGTATATGTGTGACATATAAAATACATGCTGTTTTAGTAAAGGAAATGTAACACATTGGTGAGGCAAAGCTGAAGGCTATTTGTGAAAATGTGCTTTGAAGCATTTGCTTGATAACTTGTGGTTAAAGCGCCACTCAAAGGTCAAAAGCTGCAAATGCATTTTGCAGATGTGGTGGCGGCGGCGTCCACCGGCGCTCATTAGACTCTTCTCACCAGGTGTGGGGAATACAACACAGCGGGATTGTACGTGTTCCCCAAATGTAAGCTAAACAGTGTCGAGAGACTGAACTTGATAGGAAACTTCACCGGTTATGTACGTGACCTCGGTTCCCTGAAAGGAGGGAACGAGACACTGCGCTTGCTGCTGTGTTGTAATCCATAATGATTACAGCACACTCCCTTTTTGAACTGTTGCCATCTGGTCGACGCTACAGAGCACTGAGCACCAGAACGTCCAGACACAGGAACAGTTTCTTCCCTCAGGCAATCCATCTCATGAACACCTGACAATAATTGTGGAACACACAACACTATATACATTACCTATTTAACACCATAGTTGTTTACATTTCAAATTTGCACATATCATACCTGTACATCATAATTGTCTATATTATATTTTGTGCTTTTGCTTTTTTGTACATTGTCTATTTTGTCTATTTTATATTATTCTTTTTATTATCTGTGTCCTCTCTTGTCACTGTCATTCTGTTGCACTGTGGAGCTTCTGTCATGAAAACAAATTCCTCGTATCTGTAAACATACCTGGCAATAAAGCTCATTCTGATTCTGATTCTGATCCTCAGAGTCTTGTACCCGTTCAAACCATAGACTGTAAAAAAAGATGGACGACACATCTACTATTCCTTCCACTATAAAAAGTGTAGTAAATGACGTCATTTGGAGCCAGAGTCGTGAGGTGGAGCCGTGGTATTAAACTCCCGCAGACCCAATCAACCATAATGACATGCCCCGTTTTTATAGTCAAGTCAAGTCACCTTTATTTATATAGCTGTAAGGGAAACAGGTAAATTTAGCTCAAAGGGAATCATTTATGATTTTATAGGGAATTTGGACAGAATCACTGTCTTACGGCTGATCACTTGAGTCGGCCAGCGATTCATTGAATGTGCCGTATAACATCAATTCTGCAATGGATATTAATATCCAAAGTATAGTGAAAACACAATTTATTAGCACAGTAACAAGATCGGCAGTTTAAGACATTAACTTGTAAGCACAAAACACAAGATACTTCTCTTTTCAATATAAATAAGACTTTATTAGATAAATCTAAGACATAAACTAATCTAACACACGAACACATGCATTCACACAAGTTGCAGGAAGAGAGAACGTGAGGAGAGAATGAGTTTAAGAGAATGAAAATGTGAAATCCCAAGTTTATAGCAATATGTGAAATTGCATAGACATGAACAACCATCAATCACTTAATTAACCCTCGAATTGAGTTCCTCAATGAGGTTAAAATGATATAAAATGCACATGTTCAGCTGGAGGTACTTGTGTTGCCTGTGTAAGGGGTTCCCTTTGTGTCGTCATTGCAGAAAAGGGGGTTCCCCAAGATTGCTGATTGGCTGGAAGTTCAGTAGTCCTTGTAGTGAAGTCTTGGGAAGCCAATGGTTGGGCGTTGGCTCAGCTTGACTGAAGACGCGGAGTTGTGGGCTGGTTGAAGTTTTAGACGGGTACTCGAGGTCGGACTCGGAGACACAGCGTTAGGCAAAACTTAACTCAGAACACGAACCTCTCAACGGAAAGAACACACCCCAAATGGTGCCTTGACCAATTATAGCTCGGGGCGTTGCAATGTTTCTCCTCCCAATACATAAATCAAATGTTATCTTATCAGTCACATGGTCTGAATTTTCCCGCTCTTGCAGATTGTAGGAAACTTTTTCCTCGTCGAAGCAGAGACCAGGAGACGTTGGGATATCTTTCATACAGAAGTCACTCTTTATTGAGGACTGGGTGACGACCTTAAACAAAGCATGCAAATGAAGTATTCAGGTATAGCAACCTGCCCCATTTCACCAGCCCTAATCCAATCAGCATAACTACTCAAAGACTGGGGCAGAGGCACCAAAAGCCATTACAAACAAAAGGTGATAATCTCAGTTATCTGGTTCATTTGACTAACAATAAGAGAACAGGAACCTGTTGCTACAAACTTTGCTTAAAGGGGTCATATGATCATATGACCTCAAGCGTGAGACGGGAATGTTACGCCCCTCACCATACTGTGATGGCGTGTCCCAGCCGGAGCGACGACACAAAAACATTAAAACTCATTACAAACGAGGCATTTGTTGCATCCAGTGGATATTTACCTTAAATGCTAAATACAATGTACATAACTTTTTCAGTTTATATGCTATTACATTGGAACCTAGATATAACATTTTATACATTTGTAATCCAACAAGAGTATAATTTTGGACATCATTTCTATAACAAGAATATGATACATTTGACAAAGTATTGATTGATAGAAACATTTAAAGCATGAATTTTCACACTCATACATACCCAACATGAATATAATCCTATAAACTATTCAATAGTTATTCAAAATACACATAAGTGATTGGAACATGATGGTCACATGTGTGGGTTACATGCATAATATGGAGTTACACATAGAAATGATTAGTTGCTCCAAAATTGACAATCTCCTTGGAATTGTCAATAAGTGTTCTTTTGTTTTAATGCTGTGAGCTGCTAGTTGGGGGACTTGCTTCAGACTCGTGGCATCAGGATCTGATTTATGTACATCCTGTTGGGCTTCATCCTTGGGCCCCTTTGTGGAATTCGGTTCCTCGTGTTTCAACCATGTTCTTGATTGAATCTTTAATTTGTCTGGGTCGCTCTGAAACCCTACATAGCGCTTTTAACAATACAGATTGTGTCAAAGCAACTGTACAGCATTATTTAGGAAAATAGTGTGTCAATAATGCAAAATGACAAAATTTCAGATAAAGGCAGTTCATCCAGCTCAGTTCAGTTTAAATAGTATCTGTGTAATCAAGTCAACGATATAGGTGGAAATGAAGTGTCCCCAACTAAGCAAGCCAGAGGCGACAGTGGCAAGGAACCAAAACTCCATCGGTGACAAAATGGAGAAAAAACCTTGGGAGAAACCAGGCTCCGTCGGGGGGCCAGTTCTCCTCTGGCCAGACGAAACCAGCAGTTAAATTCCAGACTGCAGCAAAGTCACATTGTGCAGAGGATTCAACTGGTTCCTGTGGTCTTGTCCCGGTGGCCGTCTGAGACAAGGTCTTTACAGGGGATCTGTATCTGCAGCTCATCTAGTGGTCCTGGTCTCCGCTGACTTTCAAGGCTGTAGAGGTCCTCTCTAGGTGCTGATCCACCATCTAGTCTGGATACGTACTGGATCCGGGTGACAGCAGTGACCCTCTGATCTGGATACAGACTGGATCTGGTGGCTACGGTGACCTCGGAATAAGAGAGAATCAGACTAATATTAGCGTAGATGCCATTCTTTCTAACGATGTACCAAGTACATCGGGTGTTATGGGAAGTGTTCCCGGTTCCGGTTGTCCTAATAATGCAGCTTAAAAATCCTTTAACGGATTTGAATATTAGAAATGTGTTAGTGTGTTATGTGTAAGCCAGGTTAAAGAGATGGGTCTTTAATCTAGATTTAAACTGACAGAGTCTGTCTGCCTCCCGAACAATGTTAGGTAGGTTATTCCAGAGTTTGGGAGCTAAATTGAAAAAGGATCTGCCGCCCGCAGTTGATTTTTGATATTCTAGGTATTATCAAATTGCCAGAGTTTTGAGAATGCAGCGGACGTGGAGGACTATAATGTAACAAGAGCTTGTTCAAATAATGAGGTGCTAAACCATTCAGCGCTTTATAAGTATTAAGCAAGATTTAAAAATCTATACAATGTTTAATAGGTAGCCAGTGCAGTGTTGACAGAACCGGGCTAATGGTCATACTTCCTGGTTCTAGTAAGAACTCTAGCTGCTGCATTATGGACCAGCTGGAGTTTGTTTATTAAGCGTGCAGAACAACCACCCAATAAAGCATTACAATAATCTGACTTAACCTAAATCCTGACTGGAAATCCTCACAGATACCATTTTTCTCTAAGAAGGAATATAATTGTGAGGATACTACCTTTTCCAGTATCTTGGACAGAAAAGGGAGATTTGAGATCGGTCCGTAATTAACTAGTTCTTTGGGGTTAAGTTGTGGTTTTTTGATGAGAGGCTTAATAACAGCCAGTTTGAAGGTTTTGGGGACATATCCTAATGACAAATTAATAATAGACAAAATAGGATCTATGACTTCTGGAAGCACCCCTTTTGGAAGCTTAGATGGAATAGGGTCTAACATACATGTTGTTGGTTTAGATGATTTAACAAGTTTATACAATTCTTCCTCTCCTATAGTAGAGAATGAGTGGAATTGTTCCTCAGGCGATCTATAGCACACTATCTGATGCCATACTGTAGCTGACGGATGCTTGGTTACAATTTTATCTCTAATAGTATCGATCTTGGAAGTAAAGTAGTTCATAAAGTCATTACTGCTGTGCTGTTGGGAAATGTCAACACCTGTTGATGTTTTATTTTTCGTTAATTTAGCCACTGTTTTGTTCTAAAAGAGACGAAAAGTAATCAGATTTAGCAGTTTTTAATGCTTTTTCTGTAGGATAGGTTACTTTCCCGCCAAGCAATACAAAATACCTCTAGTTTTGTTTTCCTCCAGCTGCGCTCCATTTTCCAGGCTGCTCTCTTTAGGGTGTGAGTGTGCTCATTATACCACGGTGTCAGCCTTTTTAAAAATAATAATAATCCTTAGAAAAACAATAGGGCCCTGCGCCTTTCTGGCTTGGGCCCTAATAATAATAATCCTTAGAAAAACAATAGGGCCTGCGCCTTACCGGCTTGGGCCCTAATAATAATCCTTACGAAAACAATAGGGCCCTGCGCCTTTCTGGCTTGGGCCCTAATAATACAAATCAAACGACAGTAGTTTCAGTAATCCTAAAAAAATAACTGCCAAACACACATGCTAAAAAACAACAACTTACTTATAGTAAGAAATGGTTATAAACACTGAAACAGAAGCGAAACGAGAAATAAAAAGCGATACTTATCCTTTGCCGGTGTCCCTGCCCGGTGGAGTCGCACGGTAGAGTCGATGGTCTTTACACTCTTCGGTCTTCACACGAGGAGTCCTTCACACGACGGCTGCCGTGGTAAACTAAGCTTTTTTATACCCGTCTAACAAAATACTAAATAAATTCAGCTGGACACACTTTCCTTATTTTTCCCACAACATATGGCCAAGCAAGCGCAGACTCTGACAAGATACGCGATATAGAAAGAGACCAAACGCCATATCAGCACGTCTCCACACAGTAAACAAAACCAGCGTTTCCTAGCAACGACAACTGCACTAAACACTAATGAGACAAGTAAATACTTACTTGGAACACTTACACTTAACTTATCATGGATATAAAATCAGCACATTCCTTAATAAAGTCTGTATGGTGCCCTGGTGGCCTGTATACAGTAGCCAGTACAAACATCACAGGGGATTTATCATTAACATTTGTTTCTCTGAATAATGTTATATGAAGCACCATTACTGCAAACGAGTTATACTTGAAGCCCGCCCTCTGAGAAATACTGAAAACACTGTTATAAATTGAAGCAACACCTCCCCCTTTGGACGTGGCTCATGTTTATAACAGTAATATTTGGGGGTAGACTCACTTAAAATAATGTAATCATCAGGTTTTAGCCAGGTTTTTGTCAAACAGAGCACATCTAGGTTATGATCAGTGATCATATAATTTACAAAAAGTGCTTTCGTAGAAAGGGACCTGATAATTCAATAAGCCAAGCTTTATCATTTGTTTATCCGTATTACATCTGTTTTTTATTTGTTCAACATCAATTAAATTGTTACTCTTAAATTGGTTTCGAGGAACAGACATAGTCTCTATAGTGTGATATCTGGGTGAAAGAGTCTCTGTGTGCTGAGAATTAGCTGATTTCTGTGATGTGAGGCGGCTAGCAGACGGTCGGTTTAGCCAGTCTGTCTGCTTCCTGACCTGGGCCCCAGTTAGTCAAGTATAAACTCTAAGACTATGTGCCATATTTCTAGAGAGAAGAGTGACACCACCCCAGGAGGGATGAAGACCATCTCTTTTCAACAGGTCAGGTCTGCCCCAAAAACTCGTCCAATTGTCTATGAAACCTATGTTATTCTGCGGGCAACACTTAGACATTATAGCATCTAATTACTAGCTAAAATCAAACTTAACACAAAAACGAACAATTTAACATATATCAGTGTGATAACAACTACCTTAAGTTACCAAAACCATCTTTCGTAAAATCGTATTGGAAGCGTAATTAATTTTTTTAATTCTGACTCAAGTCCCATTTGTTTACATGGAGAGGGCGAGGTTTATGACCTGTACTGCAGCTAGCCACCAGGGGACCGTCAAAGAGCCTGCAGCTTCATTTTTAAGGATGTGTGAGGCACACCAGGTTCAAACAGTCGAAAGATTCTGAGGTAATGACGCTGAGCGCCAACCTATATAGTGGGTGGCTCCGCCCCTAGCTCAAGCGCTTGAGCGTCATTGACTGATCAAATTTACTGTCGCGATGCAATCAGGCTTCAGTATTTGGGAGGAGGATAATAGTGATGGGAAGTCCGGTTCTTTTCCGCAAACCGGTTCTTTCCGACAGTTTGTTTCAATGAATCGGTTCAAAAACTGGTTCATCAGTTCTTTTACGCCCAAACGTAATGACATCATTCGCGATGACGTAATGATATCAAGTCTATCGTCCCGGGCTGGGATGAAAATACACATTCAAATATATAAAGCCATTAATCATAACTTCAGTCAGTTAAAACATCATAATCATGATCTGAAAAGTTTACAATTAAGTTTTGCAACTAAGCACCCAAATACAGTAACAGGCAGTGATGTGCATGCGAGGATTTAAGTCTTGAAGATATAAAGTAAATAAATTAGTTGTCATCAGCGCAGAAACCATAATCCACTTACTATACATAATCCATTGCGATTTATTTGTTATTAAAAAAGATTAAGTTTCGCCAGATTGCCCTTCATTCAAGTCTTCGGTTTACCCACTCTCATAATAGCACAGAACCAGTTCGGCTCAGACGTGCTGTGTCAGTCATATGGCGCTTTTCCACTGCGTGGTACGACTCTGCTCGGCACGGGTCAGTACGGCACGGTTCAGCTCGGCTCGATTTGCGTTTCCACTGCAGTTTAGTACCACTTTAGAGTGGGCGGGATTATTCACATGTCGTTATAGTTGCGCCGCCTCTACTACCGCGACTCCTAAAAAAACGTTTTCATTCGTGTCGCCCTATTAAGCTCTCGCTGGATCCGCTCCTCTGCTATCAACGAGAGGAACGTCTGTACTTCCGCAACAGACAACAAAACTTTTTGGTTGTTAAAAAAGGTGCGCTCGTTCAAAACAGTTGCGTTCGATCCTTCGCTGGCTGTTCAGTGACGCAGGTAGTGACGATTCTCTCCGGCCAATCCGTGATCAGCAGAGTTTACACGTCACGTTTTGGTAACGGTACGGTTCACTTGGAACCCCAACCGAGGTGGTACTAAAAAAGGTACCAGGTACTGTACCCAGTGGAAAACCCCCCCGAAAGTGATCCGTACCGAGCCGTACCGTGCCGTACCATGCAGTGGAAAAGCGCCAATAGTAGGCAATCTGTTCGGTAGCTTCACGCTGAATCACGCATGCGCAGTATCATCAGCTCATCGGTTCTCAAATCAGACGTGTCCGAAAGAAACAGTTCTTGGTTCAGTGTACTGGTGATCCGAAAACCAATGCAACCAATTCTTGACTCCAGAACGAGAACCGCTCTAACCGACACGCTGCACGCACGTTCAGTATCATCAGCTGCTCTACTCGTTCATGTTCTATTTACTACAAACTCAATTTGTGAATGTGTCATTGTTAACTATAATTACAGTACATGAATTTCATAAATCATCCCTTATTCCTATTAAACATAGAGTCTTTATTATGGTCCAACTTCCCTGACAAACCCCTTTGGCCTATAACCTAACAGAATCTTCAACTGAACAAAGTACACAGATTAGATACATTCATCTTTTTTTTTTTTTTTAAGTAAAATTAAATATATTTATATTATCACACTTTCTGATGTTTAACAAAATACTTGGATAACATGCTTTTCGTCCTCTTGAAAAATTACACGCATGCGTAGTGTAATGAGCTCATTGGTTCTCAAATCGGATGTGTCCGAAAGAAACGGTTCTCGGTTGAGTGTACCGGTGATCCGAAAACCGATGTAACCGGTTCTTGACTCGAGAACGATAACCGCTCCAGCCACGTTAAAAAAGTGAATAACTTAAGTAATTTGTGGATTAATGCTTACTGGAGACACGAACCGTTTCAAACGATTCAGGCCGATTTGGTGAACTGGTTCAATTACGAGGGCTCAGCAGACAGACATATGATTCATGAGTGACAGGTTTTTAGCGTGATTATAATTTATAACGTATCTGATTTTGAATGTAGTATGACTGTATATTCACAGTGAGTGGGAGAGTGACTCAACTCTCAAAACGTGAACTATTGTGGAGTGAGATGACAAGAAAGCTCTTTCACGGCAACTCTGAAATCAGAGAACATTTAATTAATTAATCAAAATCAAAACTACATATCTCGGTTTATGATCCTTTCTTTTATCTTTTAAACGGTCCAGGTTGATAAATCCTTGAAAACTGCTAGACTTGATTAGTTTTGACTGTGCAAAGTTCTGTATTATGTTCTACAATATGAACTTCGACTTCCTCTAGTTCTGTGTAATATTATAGAGTGACACGAAGATAGGCACATTAATGTTTTTTTTTTTTTTTGATTGTCGGATTATAATTCAGTATGTAGGCTATCAATGAATGACACCGTTTTGACTGTCATGGTGTGTGCATGAACGAGTGTGAAATACCTGCTAATTAAGTAGCTTTTTCCTATAACTTATATTGGCCACTTTTTGCATTTAAATTGGATTATTCTTACTGCTGACATTGAAAATGATGCATGTTGTTTCGAGGGTATCGGTTCATTTCTTAATTCCCATTTTGACAGTGTCTGCTTGCATATTTTATTCATGTTCGGTAGCCTAATTTTTTTTTAATGTTCTATTTGCCCCGATTTGATCCATTTATCTGGGAAATTTATCTAACGTTATATTTATATGATTTTGTCATCATTATTTTGTTTAAGGAGTTAAAAATGGCCCTTATCTAACCTTAATTTACATATTCCATCACATTATTTTGACAGTTAAAGTTTTGGGTGGTTTTTGGGCATTTTTTGGGAGCTTTTGGGCTGGAAATCATCCATCCAATCTGACAACACTGGCCTCATTCCCTCTGTTGGGGAGTGCCCCACTGAATGCTGGCTAATAATTATTGACTGCTGCAGAACTCTTGTCAGGGAGTCGAGTCATTATATTGAGCTTGACCGTTTATTGCACAAGATTTGACCATATACACATGTTAGTGTATTTGAGGTAGTTTTTTCTCTTGCACATAAACGCTGCACCTGTGTGAGAGCACGCAGATGACTGCCGTGCTGAGGTAACTTAGTGAATAGGCAGTTATGCCAAGACCGTACATGCGGTGAACCCTGCACTACGTTATTTACGTAAGTCATTACTGAAACATCACGCAGATCGCAAGTCTTAAACTTAAAGGGAAGAATTCACAACACCCTCCTTTCAGGGAAGCAAGGTTACGTATGTAACCTAGAGAGGTTTGTGCAAATATGTGATGTATACCTTGTGCAGCTGTAAGTTTCCAGGTAAACCACAACATTACGGTCTTACTGTAATAGTTCTGATAATTCACTGTGAACCCACTATTTTCTAAGAATGTGTCGATTCATGTAGACTGTTGTTGTTCTAATTACTTTGTGTAATAAAGAATGTAGACATATTTTGGATTACAAACTGTAATGTTTCATCAGTTAGTCATGTTAGCACTTAGCGACGTCACAGCGCTAGCTGGAGGCAGCCAGAGCCATGGAAAGAGAGAGTTGCATCAACGGAAGTCCAAAACGCTCGATCGTCACGTGATTCACGTAAACCTCAAATAGTCCCAGGAAGTTCATAGCGGGCAATTGAAATACATTGTTTCATCAGTTAGTCATGTTAGCACTCGGCTAACGTATCCACCATTTTAGTTTTGTGAAACGTTTACAGTTTAGCAGCTAAACTTTAGCCATGGGCACGATTCGCTTGCATAAGTGTTAAACAAAATGTTTTTATGTCATTATTTTAAGAACAGATTAGAGCACTAAATCATTAAGAAATGGCTCTATGTGTAAATGCATATGTTGAGAAAATCACAATGTTTTCTGACCTTATATACATTTAATCATTTTGTAGGGGACTCCAACACAATATTAGGACACTTTAAAATACCATATGACCTGCTGTTTAAACGTCTGAAACCTAAAATAAGCATTATATGGTTGAAAACACTGAATAGTTATAATATGACAAGCTCAATGATCTATGATTTATTAGCCATTTTCTGATCTTTGAATCTTTTTTTAAAGTACTCTTTCTTTCTGTGCATCATTGAAGCCTCGTTTATCTGTCAGCCGGTTGATACAGTCAGGAGGAATCTTACTGGCAGCTGCTGGTCTTGTGGTGATCCAGATGAAAGCAAAAGTGCGAAAATTTGAATTTAGCAGTTGATGACGTGACGCACTGAACATTCTAAGCACACCGGTGTGATCATATGCGTCAAAGGGTTAATGTAGTATTTATTAATGAAAGTTATTAAAAAGTGGTACAGAATAATTTAATGTGAACTATTGTATATTTTTGTGATACCCATTTAATTTTGGTGTTCTAACATAACTGTTGCACATCACATTAAAAGTTTGGTTCCAAAACACAATAAATCCATTTTGATCAATTTGAGTAAAAATGTGTTTTATTTACCAAAAATAGTGGCAAGATGAAAAACACTATTTTCTGTTTGAAACTTTCACATAGCATCTTTAGGTTATAATAACTTTAAAAATTCAAATTCAGATTTTGATTTTCAAAGATTTATTATAAAATTGTATAATTATTCCCCCCCAAAATGCAATAAATCCATGACACATTTTTTTTCTTTCTTTTTTTTTTTTCATTGAATCAATATAAAAGTTATTTTTCATATCGAAACTGTTGAAAATACACAACATAGTAAGTTGATCCACATATGACAGGCTCTGAACTTGGTCAATACTAATCTTATATACAGGCACTGGACTACATTCAATCAGTCATCACTCCCAACATGAATTCAACGGGTAATCTTGTTTGCTATAAATTAATTCCAACAATAAAAGAAAATTTCATCATGAACAAGTACATTAACAATATCACATTAGACCACAGAAATTCCAAAATGACATTTCCCTTACATTCAACTTCCAAAAGTGCATTCATCTTTGCCATGTTACATTCATTTAGTTGACTAGTGCTATATGCTGTATTAACAAAAACATTAATGGCATTAATAAAAACACTTACACTGACAAGCTACGCAATATCGCGTTCATAATCTAATGTGACTCATCTGCGATTATGAATGCGTTATTGCATTTCTTGTCAGTGATCTACGGCTCTGTGTATTAAATGCCGCTCCATCTGAAAGCACGTGATGGAGATTTATTATCACAGAACCGGCTTTACTGACGAGATCAAGAGGGTCTGGCTGCAGACTTGCACTTGCACTCACAGACTTGCATTCTCAGACTTGCACTCTCAGACACTTGTGCTTCCGCTAGCGACGTTACTTGCAGTCTTTATTTTTTTATTTTGTTCTATTTTTTGATTACTTTTTGTTTGAATCTCTCAACATTTTACAACAGTAGCCAGGTGGTGAAGATAAGAAAAAAGAAACTAAATTACAAAGTCACTTGCAATCGCCACTTGCACTCTCCGCTACCTGCGACGTCACTTGCAGTCGACACTAGGGTTGGGTACCATTCACATATGAACCGGTACGGTACCGGTACCAGAATTTCGGTGCCGGTACCCAACGGTACCTTTTTTCGGTACTTTACTCTGTGTAATTACAAAAACATTTATTTCAGTGAATAAATAAGTCCAAAAGTCTCAGTTTCAACATTTTGAACAATAGGGCCCTACAAACTTTTTCTTTCTTTCTTTTTCTTTTTCCTCCCAGAAATTCTTGTTTGAATTTTTCTGAAAATCAAATGAAGGCATAAAACATTTATTTTAAATCAAATGAAAATTAAACCCTTTTATATTTTGGCAAACAAACCGAGGTTTACTGTTGAAATCAATACATGGAAGCAAAATTGTGTGAATATTCCTTTACAATTTTTTGAATAGGCTAATAATTGTATTATTTTTTTCTACATTTAAGTGATTAATCTGGTCGTAATATTTCTTTTTATCATTGAATTGTTTTATTTACATTTGATAGAAAATTTAATATTTAAAGATGTACATTATACTGTACAGAAGTAATACAAGAGTAATATATTTCTGTTACATGCTAAACCGTACTTTTATTTTGACAGGTTGCCATGAAGTTTCTGTGTGTATACAGTATGATGATGCTAGTTATCTCAAATGAAACGGTAAAATTCTCGTGAAGTGACTCACAGCAGCTCTGGAGATTAAAGGTCCCATAATGTACACCTTCTGGAGTTTTATTTGAGGTTTTGATGTCCTTAAGAATATACATTTGCGGTATAAGTACCAAAAACCATCTCATATATAACCAATAAATATAAAACCATCATATATTTTTACAGCTCCTCTCTCAGGAGCTCTGCTGAGAACCGGTCGATTTTGGCCTGTCTAATTAATATTCATGAGCCTCTCTTCTGATTGGCCTGTTGTTTTCTGAGTGATGCACGGCCAGGCCAACCACAGGTAACTAGGGTCAGCGACGTCACAGCGCTAGCTGGAGGCAGCCAGAGCCATGGAAAGAGAGAGTTGCGTCAACGGAAGTTCAAAACGATCGATCGTCACGTGATTCACGTAGACCTCAAATAGTTCCAGGAAGTTCATAGCGGGCAATTGAAATACATTGAGTTGGAGAGACAGAACTGTGATTTTTGGTAATTAGTAGACAATAAAATTATTTATTTACATTATTTATAAAATAATGTATACGTACTGTATATATATATTAGTGTTGTTTTTAAAAAATATAAAATCCTCTAATATTTGAGGATTAATGTGGTCAGCTATCCGTACCTGCCTTGTTAACATATTTTAGGCTTTAGTTACCATGGTAATAGTCCGTGTTTGCTATATAAGTTTTTAATATACACATTGTTTCAAAGCAGCTCTACAGAAAATTAATGTTTCTACATTACGAATAAGAGTTCTGTTAACAGGTGTAACTGTGCCAAAGTAATGGTAGAAATGTTCTAAAATTAGGCTGTACAAATCATGCCGTTAAGTAACGTCATGTATTCAGAAACAGTTAAATATGTACAGAAACAATGAACAAATTAAAGCAATGGTTACATGATGTGATCATCAGGGGCGGATTTTGTGAATTGGGGGCCCCAGGCAAAATATAGGAATGGGGCCCTATACATTTGCACACATTTGATCCTAGATCAACCTTGAGGTTCCATTTTGTTGTTTTCAGCGTAAGCCTGTGTGCAAAGGCTGTCTAATTCTAAACTTTAAAATAAATTTATTTTTAGTTGTTTTAACTACAAATTTAAATAAAACTGAAAAAATAATGAAAAGGCAATCATACATTTACACACCTAAAATATATCAAGAGCATACTCACAGAACGACAGTCGACAGAAATATGGGACACACAGGCCTATAATAACTGCTGAAATGTTTGCGGGGCAAATCTCAGATCAGTCTAAGCGCTCATGGTACTCACAGTGCGTACAGCCATACACCTGCAGGCGCCACTGACTCGGACGGTTGTCGTGGTAATAAACACCGTAAACAGCAAACGTTCGCGTGTCCGCGCTTAATGCACATATCCTATATGAAAAGCTTTTTAGGGGGCCCTTGGCTTTTGGGGGCCCAAGGCGGTCGCCTACCTTTGCCTAATGGGTAAGTCCGCCCCTGGTGATCATGTTGATTACAACGCAAGGAAAATGTAGCAGTTTTGTATGATTATTCAGAGTCCGCTTCATCTGAAGTCCTCTGAAGGGTGGGCGTCATCTCTTCACAGGTGTTGGGTAATCAGTCTTCGTAAGTGGCTGGATATAGTCAGCAGGAGCAATCTACAGATTACACCAACAAAATGTGATGTAATCATACTAGGGAACTGGCACTTTTTCACAAAGAGCAGGGAAAGACTTGCCAAAACCAGTAAAGAGACTCATTGTGAGGGTGATCTTTACAGGGAGTCTTCAGGTGGTTCTTGTTCTGAAAGCAAGATAGCGAAGGAGAAAAACACAGGAGAAATGGTTAAGTGATGCTCCATCACATTGGAGTCCTGTGGCATCTCCTCCTTCAACACAGTGCTTATTTAGTAGCTAAGACGTTTAAGTATAAAATACAGTAATAATGTACAGGTTTACTGTAAGTACTTCTATAATATAGCAGTGGTATATAATCCATTTTTGGACATTTAGCCTAGCATGACTCTGAAATGAAAACTGCTCACCTACATTAAATTTTCATTCTCACTTTGGTCCATCTGCATCTTTTGCAATATATCTAAGTCTATTTAATAACTCCCCACCAGCAAAATCACTTTTAAATTACACAACGATGGACGAAACTGCATGAAGAGAATGAATAACATCCCGTAAATCTACTAATTAAGTGAGGAATAATCTAATAATAATCTGTTTTAATGCACATGGCAATTTGATTAGCTGTGCTGATAATATATTTTGTTCTATAAATGTCTTACCTTTTAAAAGTTCATCACAGCGGTCTCTTCTGCTGCATCTCTACGGCACTGATAGTATGAGCACTAACTTCCGGGAACTATTGAGCGGATCCACGATCCGCCATTGCTGTAAAAAAACTGGTCCATTGGAGTGA